AATCACTTAAAAAGGCACATGTTGTGCCACTTGGAAGAAAAGCCTTACGGATGTGACGTCTGTAGCAAACGCTTTAACAGACGTGACCATTTGCTACAGCACACAAAATTGCATAGCAGAGCGCAAGAATTTGAGTGTGAAGTATGTAAACGACTTTTTAGTCGACATGACCATCTGACTAAGCACATGGCCACCAAGCATAGTGTAGGTGAGAAGATTGTTACGGAGAAGAAGTTTCAATGCTCTGTGTGCTTGAAAGCTTTCACGACAGAGAAATATCGTGACGTACACATGAAGGGCCATACAGGTGACAAGAAGTATCAATGTCGTACTTGTGATAAAACGTTTTTGTCTAAGTCGCATCTGACCGAACACATTAAATTTCATAATGAAAACTCAAAGAAATTTCTGTGCTCCGAGTGTGGCCAGCGGTTTATTCGTAACGACTATCTCGTAATACATATGCGAAGACATCGTGGTGAAAAACCATTCAAATGCAAATATTGTGGCAAAGGTGAGTCGGTAAAAAAAATTGGTAATCAAACTGTCAAAATAAGGGGCATATATCGTGTCGTAGATCTTTTACACTCAACAATTTTAGGCTTGCCATCTTGTGTGTATCTGCAAATCAGACTGTTTGTGGAAACACATCAATTAAAACTTTTCACAGAACATTACAGCTTGAAACTTCTTAAATGGCAACTTTAATTAAGGATGGGTATTCTATGCTAACCGTATAGTCCATCTCACTCCTGAAAAGAGGATTTTCCCTCTTACCCCTCTTTTCCCAAGTGTTCATTTTATCTCATCTAAATTTTGCCATTTCTAAAAGTCCTATAACTGACAGGGCCGCTAAGTGCCAAATGCAGATTTTCACAAATTATCACAATTTATATTTTTTAGCCTACTTTTTATGAAAAATACTGCTAATTTAGAACGTCTGCGTGAATTTCGTGCGTCAGAAAAAATTTAAATTCGGTTTATGTGCCCGCGCTAAGTTGACTAGAATTCATATGCTTCAGCCATTCGCGCGAGTGCAAAAGTGTTACCGCTTGTTTCATTTTCGGTGAGCTTTTGCAACCATAAGGAACTGCATCTTTGAACCAAACACGAACCGCAAAAGTTCAAATTAAAGAAATGAAAAGTGTATCCATAAATAATGAGCAAATGACCAAAAATTAGTTGACAAAGCAATTTAAAAAAAAGTGCTATCACTAGACTTCAGCGCATTTTTAAGGGTGCAGATCAGTAGCTTTCAGGCCGTACATACTCTTCTTTTGCTGCTTGTTGGAATTGGTGCATACACGTCAACAGGCGTTTCTTTTACTATGTGCTTAAACAGATCTTCATGCTCCAAATATGCGTGTATAGTAAATTTCCAATCAGCAAAGTTCTCTTGACCGTTCAATTTTTTCATTCTGGCCTTCAGACTAATCAATGCAGGAATAACACGATAGTCCGGCTGAAAACCCAAAAGTTCGTCAATATTCCATTGCCGAGATTTATAAAAGGCATCTCAACAGCCAACAGTCAGTGAAACAATAAGCTCCTTTTTGAGAATCAAAAATGCGCTAAATACAGTTAAATCTTTCTGTATACATTTGATATAACTAAATGTAAGATATAATAGTTCAAAATGTGTATGACTGTTTGTTTGTGTGTAATGATACTATATAGGACAAACGCTAGTTGTTTTGGCAGTTCTTCTATTAATCATTCAGTACCTAAATAGACAGAACCTTTTAGGTTTTCCACGTACTACTGATCTGACAGTCCATGAACGATATCACACAGGTGAAAAGACCCATTTATGTACAATTTGTGGACGAGGATTTGGAAGGTAGTAAAAGAAGTAATTATAGTTCTCTTTTAATCAGTATTTTTAGGGCATACAATCTAACAGTGCACATGCGTACTCACACTGGAGAAAAACCCTACAGGTGCACTTATTGTGATGCCGCATTTGCTCAAGGGAACGACTTGAAAGCGCACGTGCGCCGACATACTGGTGAACGATTTCATTGTGATCTTTGCAGCGAAAGTTTTCTAATGGGCTATCTATTAACGCAACACAAAAGGACCGTACACGGTAAGTGCGCCACGTCCTCGATCACTTTCATAAACAATTTTTATTTAGGTTTAAATGTCGTTAGTCACATAAGAAGATTACAACCAGTGTCCCTGAATCGCGATCAACAAGCAGATTTTGAGCCAATTACGATCCCTCTACCTCCTGCTGTGGTGTCAGTTTCTGCATTCAATAATCACATAAAACAGGATTTGGACGATATAGACGATCCGTCCGTAATACCAAATGCCGCACCCAATGCTAATTTTGATCCACAGATTCAATCACAATTGACAGTAGCTCAACTTCAACAAATGGCACCACTTTAAAGTAAAGATAAAGTTTTCAAATTTTATTTCATACAGCCTTTTATTTCAGACATCTTTAAATTGTCTTCTCTAAACCAAAAATTGTAAATTAATGTACCATGGATTGATGCGCGTTAAACACTATTGGAGCATAAGAAACTAGTTACATTAAAAGGTAGCTTCCATATGTTTTCCCGATTTTTTTCGATATGGGGGTTAAGTGTACTAATTTGGAAAATGTGAAAGTTTTTGTACACTAACTTACTGTATGTGAACGTATATTGTTTTGATACAACTGTGTACATAAAACGATAGTAGTCTTAAATAAAAAGAATTGCTATTTAAACGATAATTGAATTTTGTTGTTAAGTTGCAATATTGGCACGTAGACAGCTTACGGTTAGTATAACTTTTTCTTTTTCACAAGGGTTTTGGAAAGGTGTTTTCGTAATACGTTTATTCCTCTACTTCCATCTTTAATCATTTTTGATTCTTTTTAACAATTAGTAACTTTGTGCTTGTGGCTACTGTGATTAATTTTACTGCATTTCTTTTCAGGACCGATTTAATATTGTGCCTGCCACTATTCTAATCGCAAGCACCTTAAAACACTTTTGTCCTTACCGAACATCATCAAAATATATACAGTGTGTTCCAGGTAGAACACACCATACGTGGGTGATTGGGTACTGTGGGCACAAGGACCATTATCGCGTAATGATACCGGAGGGATCTGAAGTCGTTAGATGTATTCGTTTCTGGGGATTTATAAATTACAATCAGTTACACTAAAATCAGTTCAGTTAAATTTGAAGTGTTCGTTATTACATTACCTAAAAAGTAATGGGCTGTTTTACTAGCGGTAATATTGTTTAAATTTTGCTCATACAATTCATCATCGCTCATATTAAAAGAATTCTTGTTAATATTTAATGTCGAACTTTGTACAAGGAGATTTCCGTAAATCAATCAATCAAGTAGTATACGCAGTATGTTGAACCAAATAGTACGAGTTTTATTGGTATAGGAAACTGATTCAGAGGATATTCGACAGGGACACTACTGATAACAGTTGTTAAATGTCCGATAGAAAATTAAACAAACAGCCTGGGGGCTGGGAAGTTATGATCACAGTTTTCTGAGGTTATGTTAATTGAACGGTACCAACTTTTCCCGCAATTAGATAATAGTGATTTCTATTCACTTGGTCAGTAGTGGGGGCGAACTCATTGTAAATGAAAAAAACATTGCAATCACTTCAACTGATTTAACTTAGTTAAATCACCTGAAACAAATACAGCTATTGTGTCTAAGGATGTGATTTTCAAAACGGAAACGCAGTCGACAGCTCTTTGATTACTGTAGCAGTAAAATCCAGTAGTGAGTGTGACGTCACTAACTCAGAAGAAGGAGCATTATGCGGAGCACTCTGTAATTGGGCGAAAGCCTGTTGACGGCCCAGAACAAGAGAGGGACAATAAATAAAATAAATAAATAAATGATAGCTTATGAAGCTGAACCGTCTACGTACACCGAATCCATTGAAAGTTCTCAAGGCAAAAATTGGAAAGTGGCATATGATTTAGGAGGTAAATGCGCTCAATGAAAATCACACTTGGGATCTAATTTCTAGGCCGCGCTGATAAGACGATGATTGACTGTCATCAGTGGGTGTATAAGGTCAAGTACAATGGTGATGATTCAGTGGAGGGTTACAAGGCGCGTCTGGTTAGCCAAAGGCTATCTGCAACGTGAAGGGATTTTTTTCACTGAAACCTTCAACCCTACCGTAAGATGGGACTGCATTCTCTGTCGAGTGTGCGCGCGTGAAGGACAATAATTCAATTTTACGTCAAAAGTGCTTTCCTTTATGGAGAGTTGGACTTATGGACTACACCAAGCTTTTAGATGCTGAAATAAGACATTCACCAGTTTTTTGAGTGAACTTTAGAACAACATTGACTTGGATGATGGCCTGGTAGTTAGCAGGGATGAAAAATACTTGCAAAAATATATTCCTGTTCTCAATGAAACTTTCCAGTAATGCAAAATTTTAGCTAGGATTGAAAATTCAAAGGATGGGTGATGGTTCAATTTGTATTTCCCAGGAAGACTACATTCATAGCGGTTCCAGTTTAATTAATGTTAAGCTAGCCCCCCCCCCCCCCTCCATACGTGCTCTTGTTATACCTTTTCGGCATCCATTTGTGTGAAATGCAGACTGTATATTTAAGGAAGTTATAAGAAATAAAAAACTACACAGTATGTAGGTTTATGTAGATAAACATTCCAACATTTTATAATAGCAATACTTTAAATCAAAATCCATATCGTACCAATAATTTACAGCGATGCAACCATGGCTTTGTTGTACATGGTGAAACCACAAACTAGGCAAGTATAAACAATCCCCTTCATTTATTCTAACTTTATAAACGTTCGCATTTCTAAACTGTGGGTATAAGTCTGTGTCTGGTCTTGAAGGATCGATGGATACCCAATTTAACATTTCATATTTGGAATTTTCCAATTTGGTTTCTATTTCTTGACAACCTCTAATTTGTGGTTTTGGTATGAAATGGTCACAATCGCCGCCACCATTTCTTAATTTTGGTTCAATTTCGTAGTGGTCCGTACTAACATTTTTAAACGTCCCAACTGGATAATATTTGTAAGGTACGTGAGGCAAGTCTGTCGGTGGAATTAGTATAAAATCCTTATATCCACTAATTACACAGTAGATATTCTCATAGGGATCTTTGTGCACTGAAAAACCAAGTGTGAATAACCTGCTAGTGAAGTAAAAACTTTAGTTCTCAAATGTTATTATAATTCCAATTGCAAATCAAATATTTAAGATCCAAAATTGATGGTATCTATAGAAATTCACTCATACAGTGTTATAAAATAAGCCTTCAAAGGAAGGGGACTATAACTTTTTACTCTGATAGGAGCTGCATTTTGATACTCACTGCTTGTAACTGCTCTTTCATCTCCCATCCAGAAGTTCACGGCGTCTGGACTTTTAGCAAAAATGTCCTTGGCCCACTTTAATTCGATGTCTACATCATTAATTAGCTCTTTGAAGTCCTCCAAGAGATTTGAATTCTGCTTTTGAATGTAACATACAAAGTTTTTCCTGCAAAACGAATATTCTAGAATTCATACATCTGTGCACACTCATCTTACTTAGGGGCGGTCATATTGCTCAAGAACTCGGACATTCTCATTGTTCTTTCTTCGGGCATCGCGAAGAAATCGGTGTTATTTTCAGCAATCACACCATCCGCGTATCCATTGGGAGTTATCGCTACCGTTACATCCTTGTCTGGTATTTTTTGCCTGTAATATTTTAATTTGTTTAAATGTTTTATAAAAGCAAAATGTTTCTACACTGGCTCTGCTTTCTTTGTCTTTATAGAATGTTAGGATTATCTTATTATTATAAGATATCTTATAATTTGAGAAAAAATTTAAAAAAGAAACACTGCATAGTGATTGGGAGTACATTTAGTAATTTAGTCTGTAAACAAAAGCCTTGACTTGAGGTGGTAGACGGTCGATTTTAGCATACTCGGGGTAGGCCATAGTGGAACTCCCATCGGTTAAAATTTTGATCACTCTCGTTCAGTGGATTTAGAGCTAGCTCCCCTAATATATAAATACCTAATTAAAGCACTATATTGTAATAGGTAGGTATATACACAGAAAATGTTAATTTTTTACACAGATTAACTCTGAAAGGTTTGAAAGTAATTACACCTTGAATTACACTATAAGTACTCACGAAGAGGTACTAATACAAACCGCCCGTACTCTTAAACGAGCTATCTAGCTAAACCACAAAAACTTTTTCCTAGGAGCGAAACAGTACCTAGATGCCCTGTTTAAAAATCATTCAAGTGAAGTGCTACTTAATCGAAACAAATGTGCTGAAGAAAGTACTTAAACAGTGTTAGTTGAACAACACCAAGACTTACACACAAATCACAGACTTGCACTCACAAAAAATAATCGATATTCCACAGCTTCCTTGCTCTCCAATCTCTGCAAGCATTTTTTATCACTACCGGCATATTTTTTGCAACATATTTTCTGTAAATACTCCATGACCATTGCGGATTATTTGCCTCTATATCAACACAGGGTACTTTCGTATGAAAATGCAGCAACTCTAAAAACGCGCCATAAATAAACAAATTTTTAGGTTAGGTTTCCCATTGATTGAATGTAAGAAGAGAAAATTATGTGATTTTACCTTTAGTTTCTTCTTGAAGAACATTTAAGCAGTTTTTCAACGTTTTTTCGTAATAACACATTTGCGTTTTTACAGAGAAAATTGTCAATAAATGTTGAGCCAGTTGAGAACATCCACCCTAAAGGGTTGGCATAGGGTTATAAGAAATTGTTCTACAAATGCCGATTTGCACTCGATAGTACGTGTTGATCATGCAGGCGAATTGGGAGCTGATCGAATTTATGCGGGGCAAATGTTTGTGCTCGGACATACCGAAAAAGGTCCGTTGATACAGCATATGTGGGATCAAGAAAAGGCGCACCGTGCGAAGTTTGAGGAACTTATAGTGAAATATAGAGTACGTCCCACCGTCATGGTGCCCATATGGAACATTGCCGGGTTTGCTTTGGGAGCAGGTTCTGCACTTTTAGGGGATAAAGCTGCCATGGCGTGTACAGTTGCTGTCGAAACTGTCATCGTAGAGCATTACAATGATCAGTTAAGACAGCTTATGGAGGATCCAAATACGAATAAAGAAATTTTGGAAACTATAAGGCAGTTTAGGGACGAGGAACAGGAACATCACGATATTGGAATTGATCACGGTGCTGAACAAGCACCATTCTATAAAGCGTTTTCAGAATTGGTCAAAATGGGATGCAAAGCTGCCATAAGTATATCTAAAGTTATTTAATGTATTGCCATTTATATTTGTTAATTATTAAACCCTGTTTTGTCAGTAGGTATTTAATCAAATTTTGCAATAAAATTCTTAAAACAATCCTTTACTATGTACCTATTCCTTAGATACACTATACTTATACATAATGTAAATGTAACGGGCGATCAAAAAAGAATTGACGTCGAGTTCAAGTTAAATACGGCGATTTCCCATGCAAACAAAAATTCCAAAGGTGACTCCACAGCATCTCTTTTGATCGCATAGTATCTGTAGTATACATACTGTATAGTCTAAAGACAGGTTCTAAGGTGTTTTTTTCTCTGTACAAAAAGTAATGCCAAAGTAACTAAATATGATAAGGATTATCTAAGACAATAAAACTCCAGATCGAAAAACTAACATTTTCGCCTTGAAGAGACGGTCACGGGGGTGGCAAAAACTGTATAACCAAAAATGGATTACGGCATTCAACGCCGCGGTGCTGATCTCGACATTCAACTGTCAACTCTGAAACCCCGAACGAGGGGCGAATTACATATCTCGTGGGGGCGAGATTTTGCTAATAAAAACTCTTCGGTTTAGGATCTATGTGTGATATATGAGTTACGATTCACTAATTTTCACATATTTTGTCGTAACATTGAATTTGCCTTACAAAAGTAATTATTATCCATCTTGCTCTTAAGAGAAGGATTTTATTTCACCAAAGTTGAGTCACATTTTGTGTATTTCACCCTCATAGAATCTTGGTACCTACTTGCCTGACCCATTGTTCCCAAAACATGTTTTTAACCTATATAATGTTTCTGACAGCAATGCTCTCATGTATCTTGTAAAAAATTCGTTAGGAGATGCGTCTTTTACTGCACAGCGGCAACGGTGCCGAAATTCGTTATAACATGTGTCTCGATGACCGTAGAGCTTCTGCTTCTACACATATATATACTTCTCTTATATATATGCTTCTACAGGTCTTTAACCTAAAGAGTGTCCTTAAATTTCAATCCTTTTTTTAAACTAGTAACTTTTTTATTAATTAAATTATGGAGGTAGTCGAAGATGTAATTGAAAAATCACCTTTAAACGAAGAAGAATTGCTCAAAAAACATCGACAAGAACGAAAAGACCTACAAGCCCAGATACAATCTTTAAAAAAAGGTGTAGTTAAAGGCGATAAAAAGAAAAAAAAGGAAGTTACAGAAATGATATCGAAATTAGAACAAGAACTGGATGCAGAGCAAGCGCTGGAGTTGAACAACGTAGCTGCCAATGATACAGTTTCATCCGAGCTTTCATCAATTAATGAGGTAGTCAATGGAGATGTACCCACTAAGATCTCCAGAGCACAAAAAAGGAGAACGAAAAAAGAAACCGAAAACAAGGAGCGTGAGAAGAGAATAGCAGAGGAAGAAGTCAATCATCGGCAAGGGCCACGTGTCGTCGAGTTAAATACCATTAAAGAACTGCTACAAAATGAAGGACTGCAAATTTTTAATATACCCGCGGATGGTAATTGCTTGTATTGCGCCATTAATCACCAACTGGAGGTGACGGGCCGAGTCAGCTCGAATGTTTCGAAGCTACGTAAACTTACTGCTTCATTTATACGCGACAATAAAGAGGAGTTTCTTCCATTCATGTATAACGATGACGACGATGAACTTATAGGAGAAGACAAGTTTGAGAAGTATTGCAAAGATGTAGCTAATACTAAATTGTGGGGAGGACAGTTGGAACTTACTGCCCTGTCGAGCGTTTTAAAGTGCCCCATTAAAGTTATTCAAGCTTCGGGCCCTTTAACTATCCAAGCCGAACAGTACGAAGGTCCACCCTTAATTCTGACGTATCACAAGCATTTATATCGATTGGGGGAGCATTACAACTCGACCATTACTTCAGTAGACGATAATATGCAAGAAAGTGAAGATACTTTTGCCTAAAGCATGTCAATTTTTTTTTAAACATTTTTTTTTTAAATGGTTCTGTTTTGACCATTTTTTTAATTTATGTATGTATTAAAGAACTTGAAATTGATTAAGCCGATAGTATTTATTAAAAAATAATTACATATGTACACAAATGGTTACTTCCATTGAATTATCGCTAATAAAAATATTTAACTACTTTTTGTTTTAAAAATTTTAGCAGTTCCATCATCGGATGTACTAAGAAGATCAGTACAATCCTTCGTTAATGATAAACTTAAAATGTTTGCATTATGACCTGTTAAAACTTCAACTAAAGTACCAGATCGTGTATCACAAACATAAATACAACCATCTGTACAACCAACAAACATTTTATCATCGACTCCCCATTTAATTGTGGTTATAGAAGTATCAAACTTTGTTTCGTGTCTTAGATTATTTTTTTTATAGTCCCAAACGCACAGTTTGCCTGATATTGCACCAGTGGCTAGCAATCCTGACTCAGTGTTAAAAGCAACCACCTCCACTTCGGTTTCGTCAGCAGTAAGATACGACGCAGTTTGGGTACCATCTGCTACTTTAAACAGTTGTGCAGAAGGGGCCACGATACACAAGTTTGCATCATCCGTAATGTCTAGAGATGTAATTGCCAACAAAGGAATATTCGCAGTTAATTGCCATGACATTTCGCCACTTTTTAAATCCCACAAACGTAATTGGCCATCGCCATAACCGGCTAACAATCGTTTGCCATCTGCTAGTATTTTGCCACTATGTGTAGATGTCCCGTGTGATGGCAGCACCTTACAATTTCCCTGCGGAATTTGCCACACGTAGATATCTCCAGACTGACAGCCTGCTATAAGAACATTAGCCATGTGATGCCATAGTAGCCACTCCATGTCATCTCCTTCGTAGCACCAAACCAGTTTCTTATTATGAACATCCCAAACTTGTATTAATCCACTCATGTCACCAGTGGCGACAAATTGGTCATTAAAATTAAAACTAGCTTCAACTACTGAATCCTTATGCCCGGTGCATTCCAAAAGGACTTCGCCGGTTTCTGTGGACCAAACGTAACCCATGTCATCTTCACCACCGGTAACCGCTAATGTCCCGCTTCTGCTAAACGCTCCTGTAAAGACTGAGGTTGGATGCTTCGAAAACGTTAAGTGCGCTAAATCAATTGCTTGTGCATAATCCCCTTCATCCTGAGCATCCTCATTTAGATCAATATCATCAATTTCTTCGAGTTCATCTAAATAGACCACTTCTATGTCGTCAAAAGTTTCGTTAGGTTCTTCCATCGTATTAAATTCCAAATGATTTAAAATTAATTAAGACTATAAAATGAGTAAAAAATGAATTAATTGCTAATTAACCAAAAACAACGTGCTTGAGGAGGTTCATATCAAACAGTAGAGCTACTTTGTTACAGTCAAACTACTAAGTTGATAGTATTAGAACTACAACAGGTATTATGAACTATCTTGTATTTTGTAGTTTGATTTTACTAAACTGTGGCAAATACCTTATTATATTAAAGTATTTGACTGTAGCTACTGGTGTACTTCACCGCATAACAAAAACGTATATAATTAAAAGCATATTGTCGAATGAAACAACACCTGCACAAAATGGGCCTTTAAGTATACCTTCCTTCTGCGTGTAGGATACACATGTGGAGAGGAAGCAGTACTGCACTTCTGCCAATACTGTCGTTAGGCGTTAGAGGATTCTGGGGAGAACGAATAACATTCTGAACTTTTTCAAAGAAACAGACATCTCAAGGTCCATATAGTACAGAGACAAAATTAGGATACCACTTCAGTTTTAAATGAATTAAAAATAATAACACTTCATCGTATTTTATTGCAATGATATATACTTCTGGTACACCTACTGACCTACAGCTTATAGATATATAAGCAAATCCCATACGTAGGTTTTATTTTGCAATAATAAATATTAGGGAAGTTGTTACATTTGTATAGCTGTTAGCTGTGTACCCGAACCCGGACTTCATAGGTTTTTTAGGCGAGCCAAGAAAGGTTTTTTAGGCGAGCCAAGAAAGGTTCACCTAAAAAGGCCTGGCGACAGCCCTATAGGATAAGCCTATGGTTGGTTCGTTCTAGAGCTTTCGATAACTTTCATGTTCCTAATTTGTTTTTAATTGTTTGTGTTCTACAAATTTTATTTAATTAGTTAGATTACAAATATTAGAATAGAATAAACAATGATATTTGATATTAGTTAAAAGTGGGCATTTTACCTCAGAGTAAGAAATAAATCTTACTCTGAGGCATTTTACCTATTCATTTTCAAGGTCGTGTCTATTATTTATTTTGTTGTTCTTTGCTTTGCCACGATTCGCCACTGCCCTGCCACTTGTCTGCATTAGTGCATTTGCATACTTAACGTCGGTGTTGCCGGGTGTGCAGTGATTCGAAAATTTTTGTTATAATCGTCCAAAATGAATAAAATTGTTGGACATTTACGTTCCCTTGATGCATACCCTAAAACTACTGAAGATTTCAGCGTGAAAACCTTCCAGGGTGCAGCAAGTTTGTTTACATTTATTTAACCTTAAATCTTTGTGTTTTTACCACTTTTAATTGCAGTCACCTTTATATCTTTGGGAATTATGTCCATGCTATTTTGGATCGAATTGTTTGATTACTTATCACCAAACGTAACAGAGGAACTGTTCGTAGATACTTCACGGAATCCAAATATCCAAATTAATTTAGATATTATCGTGCCGACTATATCTTGCGATTGTTAGCTACTTCCTCTACTTTAATTCCATTTAAGACACTGCACTTTCAGTTTTATCACTTGACGCAATGGATTCCTCTGGCGAACAACACCTACAAATTGATCACAATATTTACAAACGTCGTTTAGATTTAGACGGTAAGCCCATTGAGGAACCTAAAAGAGAAGATATCACTATACCAACTAAAAAACCTAATGAGGTAGGGGTCGTGTCATTATTGGTAATTATTACTACTGATTACTTTAGGCGGAAAACTCGACAGAATGTGGAAGTTGCTACGGAGCCGCACTTGATCCGAAAAGGTAGTTTGGTGCAATGTAAACATTGGTTTTGGAATTATTTTGTAGATGTTGCAACACTTGCGAAGATGTACGTGAAGCATACAGAGAAAGACGGTGGGCCTTTCCTGATAATCCCGAAAATATCAGTCAGTGCAAGGATGAGCATTTTAATGAGAAGCTTAACACGGCTTTCTCGCAAGGCTGCCAGATTTACGGATCACTTGTTGTCAATCGAGTTAGTGGTAGTTTTCATATAGCTCCAGGTCGAAGTTTTAGCGTAAATCATGTACACGTACATGACGTGCAACCGTTTTCTTCTACGTCCTTTAATACGTCCCACCGAATACGGCACATTACATTTGGTACAAATATTGACAGCAAATCGCACAATCCACTAAAAAATACAGTAGCAATCGCCGCACAAGGTACGAAATCTTTATTTACTAACGTTCTACATTCCTACAGTTTACAAATAGTAACTAAATTTATCTTAAGTAAAAAATTTACACCTCCCTAATTAAAAATGCAGGTATGTTTAGCATCGCAAACCAGATCCGATTGCTAGAAAGGTTCCAAACGATCCACCTCCTTGTAACATAACCTTTCCCACTGTATTGACAAGTTCCCTTCCTCGTAAACCGCCCCTAAGGAGTGAAATGGTAAAACTTAATACTAGAGCTTCCTATCGTTACCTTAAGGCAGAAAATCCGCCAAATATTGCTCCACTTGCCATACCCACACAGCATCCCAACATGAAGCCCATTTTCATTCTATCGAAACATGAGGGGCCCTGTTGATAAACTCCACCGGGTACAGCGGGCATTGTGCTAAAAATATTTATAACCTCAAATTTTCTGTGGAATTTGAAAATATGTCGTTTTTTTAGTAATAATTTTGAAAACTGGTTAATTCTACTGTAATTTGTTAAAAAATTGGGATTTTAACTTTTGTCAAAATGACGTAATTTACCTTTTTTAATTTTTTTGTTGCCCTTTTGATTAGTGTGGTCAGATTTCATACAGGTGCAATATTTATACAGGGATCACAATTATCTGCGATGTATACAGGGTGCTTATAATGAATATGCGCAATAGGCATTTTTTTGCTGGCCACAGTTTTAAAGTTGTGCTTTATTAGAAGTTAAACAGGTACCACACAATAGTGGTTAGAGTATTACCATTGTTTATTCTTAGTAGTTAAACCACCGACCGTTAGTACGTTGGGTAAAGTCCAGAGAGCATGTTGGGTAAATTGTCGCTTTAAATAATTCTTGTATTAGTTCCAAACAATAGGGCAATAGGGTTACAATTTACTGACGACAGATGGCGTAATCGTTGCATTCATATTGTGGTATGTGATAACGGAGCGTATCACATTACTATCGCATCAGCACAAAAGACGTATTTATGCATCCACGCTGAAGAATGTACCATGCTGTCCGATCGAGTAATTTTTAAAGTAAAAAATCTATAATTGGTTCAATATTGAACATTTTACTAGTGTAACTTTGTACTACAATAGATAGGTACTGCTTCTACAAATGCAGAATGCTGAATTTTGTCCGCAAAAGAAATAGTATGTATTACAAGCACAATATTATTTATTAGAACAATGGGCTTTTGTGTTATGTGTTTGTCTACGGCCTTGTGTTGGCGTAATCTGTGACTGTTCTTTCTCGCCTTTAAAATTTAAATTAATATTCCCAAACAGTTTCTAAAAAATGTTTTGAAGTGCCATATTTTTTTATAGGGAATCAGTCTACTTTTTCCTTAAGAAATTTTACAATTCGTTTATCGGCTAATATAAATTTAAAGTGTTTAAAACATAATCGGAGTACTATGAAATATGTAGTTTTAGTATGAAAAAAATTCTTAGACTTTATGGATTCGCAATTATATAAAAGAGCACTCACTGATCTCGAACGGTTTAAGAATTTTAGAATGGAGCCTTGCATCTCCAAATATTTAGAGAAAAATTGACGTATGTCAAAAACCATGACAGATAGGTACGCAAATCTTAAATACGTTGAATTCGAAATAAAATGGCGTATTTACCATTAAACATTCCATCCCTCATAACAGTGCATAATATTCGCTGAACATAGGTAATTTAAATTCTCATAGACCCCTGTAGGATATATCATTGCCAGTTGCATATCCCTTTAAATGTAATTTGATCTATGTAAATAAGTAAAGGTGAGTGGGTCATTGCAGAGATTCTTTAAATTAGAGAATACGCAAATCAATTGAATAATCAGATAGTACCACAATTCGACAGGATGTGGCAGCACTTATTAGTAACTTCGGTGGAACAACTATAAATCAATAAACAAAGGTATTCCTTGACCAGGTGTCGTCCACAGAAAATTTATTGTATGGTATTGTTTAAATATTTATAGTTGAACAGAGTCATCATTATAAAAAAACACTTATCGATACTTTCATTTTGATAGAAGTTGCACTTTGAACATGCATGATGCAGTGCACTCTATTAATACGAAACAAAAGCATATCTTTTCACCTTAAGGGTCGTGTCTAAGTATGTTTAATTGAACAAGGACAGAGTATAAAATATTCCTGCAGTTAAGTAAAGGCTTAGTTTAGACTGTACAGCTTGTAATGGGTATTTACAAAGTAATACTTTAACTTTCAACACTGGTCCATTTCGTGAATTGCTTTGAACTGTGAACACTAACCCCAATTGGTAGGTAAGTACATAAGGAATTAAATTCGGTTATAACTTGTAGGGTTGTTTTGCAACATATTAACTTGCGTAAGCTAATTCGCATTTCATTTTTTCTTAGGTGCTACAATGTTTCAATATCACATTAAGTTGGTTCCGACGATGTATGTGAAACTAGATGGCTCAGTTATAACTTCCAGTCAATATTCTGTCACGAAGCACCAGAAAGTGGTCTCGATTATAAGCGGCGAATCGGGAATGCCGGGCGCGTTCTTTCAATATGAACTATCGCCTTTGATGGTGAAGCGTACGGAGCGAAGAAAATCGTTTGGACATTTTGCTACCAATGTTTGTGCAATTATAGGAGGAGTTTTTACTGTTGCCGGCCTTATTGACTCCATGCTGTATAATTCTGTAAAGTTTGTGCAAAAAATTGAAATTGGGAAAGCCCAATGATACTGGCGGATTTTAAAATTTATTTACATAATTGTGCACAAATACTATCTTCAGTTGGTTTAAAAATTCTGTGATTTAGATTACCTACTTGTAGTTTGCAAGGGACTTGTAATCATTGTGTTATTTATTTGTAATATGTATATATAGTCAAGGTGGTGGATCTATACTGTAAGCATAATAGCACACAAGGTGTTAAATAAATAACGCGCGTGGTTTAAATAGAGCTCCCTTTCGCATAGTATTTCTTGTTTAATGCCGTTTTTTTTAACGTCACTGTTCTTGCTATGGGGAATTTCAAATTTTTAGGCAACTTTAATTAGTTCACTTTAGACTAAGGAAATCTATACCGGGTGGTGCACAGTAAGTACGAACATAGGGATTTAACATGGGAAATTAGTTTTATGCAATATCCTGCTCTCCTGTACATTTTGCAGAAAAAACTGTAAAGTTTAAGTTGTTCAGAATTAAAAGGTGCATACAAAATTGTTTTTACATGTTTTATTAAGCTTTTGGTATACCCGCGAATTTAAAAATAAATTTCAACATTTCTGTTATTAGTAGCAATAGCCATGACTTTTGTTGTTTTATGAATTGCTACTATAGCACGTTTGCACCCCCAGATGCAGTATGGGGTCTTATGGACTAATTGCCTCTCTTACTCGTTTGCGTCATTCTTCGATAATAGTATCCTCGTTCCTCACCGCAATGATGTCAAATTGACATATGATTATAGTGAAGTATTAAAACAAAACATAATCTCCTTGTGCTGACATTGGAGGTGCGAACCCGCTTTGCGGATATACCAAAAGCTTAAAAACATGTAAAAACAGTTTTGTATGCACCTTTTAATTCTGAACAACTTTAAACTCCACAATTTTTTTCTGTAAAATGTACAGAAGGGCAGGATATTGCATAAAACTAATTTCCCATGTTAAATCCCTATGTTCCTACTTACCATGCACCATCCGGTATGAAAGCTAAAAGTATGGAAATATTAAACAAGTTTAACTGATTATTATTAGAGGCAACCTGATATTCAAATAGAGTATAATTTGCATTTATAACTTAATTCAGTTAATGATACTATGATAAGTAGTGCATTAAAATTTGAGTTTAAGTTCACCTTAAGCACCATTCCAAAAGTGTGGGTTTATTTTACACCTTTTATGTTTTTGTTTTTTACTTTTAAGCATAATCATTACTATATTTTTTAATTAAATAAGCCAAGTCAGTCTAGTTTTATGTAAATGTGATACTTTGATCTGCCACCTGAATGTTTAAAAGAACTGAAGGTACTAACCGCAAAATCTGAATAAATGTGTTAATAAATTTTGCTAGCTTGCCGTTTTTGAATACATAATATTGTATTGATTGTGTGTATAAGTTCTAGCAATCAGTTTGAAACATGTTTTTGTATTAGGCAATATTTTCGGGTGTAATTAAATTTTTACTTTTATTAGTAGGTATTCAACTCATTGTAAAATGTAGATCTTTATAATGTTTGTATCTATACTTTGTGACTGCCTTTTTTACCTGCGTTTTTGAAATGTATCTTGACCCGCTCTTGGATCTTCTCCACAATGGTTTTAATTATTGGCGATAATGAATATTATAGTTGCGTTCTGAAAGCGTTCCATTTGTGAACTCATGTTTTTTGAAGAAATAAACTGAATAAGTATTTTATTCAACTGTGTATGAGGATTTCTTTATTGCATATATACCTACATTAAATCATTATCAGGAGTTCAAGGGATAGACCATTTTTAGATTTTTTAATATTGTCATAGTAGGAGAGACACTTTTGAGTACCTGCAAACACAGTGCTTGAGCCACTTGGAACAAGGATATTTTGAGAATGTATACAAGCCCCTTCTCACTGCAAGTACTGTGCCTCAAGGATATTATATGCGATCAAGCTCCAACCAGTTGAGTTGAGTCGAATGTATTACGTTCTTGATTTGTGTTGCGTTTAAAAAGTAAGAGAATGTTCGCACCCAGATTAGAGCTCAATTTAGGAGCGGAGGGATCAGATATTTACCCACAGTGTTTGCGGTTTTGTGTGTGGTGGTTTGTGTATTGATTGTTTTAAGTTGGTAACTGAAACTGAAAGAGTTAGTTTAAACTTTATCTACATATCATACTGATATCCCTAAATTGAGCAGCGTTTATTCCCAGTTCAGTCGACATTTTGCATATTAATAAAATAACAGAAATCTTCTATACATTGAGAAATATTGCAAATTTCAATGTGCTTCCAGGTTTCAAAATATTTGAAAGCACTTTAAAAGGTACCTTTGGAGTAAGTGCTTGAGAGCCTTGCTGCAAATGATGCAAATATACATTTTATCTGAGACCAGACGCAAGCAACTCCCTGTCTCGTAGTTTTAGTAAAGGTATGGGTTCCTAGTTTGTTTGTTTGTTATATAATATAATAACCAAACTAACTAGGAATTAGCAGTTATAATTTACTAAGGACTCTGTTCTATTTTTTTAGTTGTTATAATTCTCAGTTGTAATTTAAACCATGGTTTAACGCCAACAACATTTTTTTCGACACATCTTCGTTCTGACATCTTTTGATGCATAAACTACTATTAATCATCTATTTAAACTTCGCCATAAGTTTTATTTGTATACTTTTTTTCTTAAATATAATCATAATGAATTAAATCTACAGTATTCCTACATTATAATGTCATAGGAAATGGTAACAATATTAAATAACATAATTCTAAGTATGTACACAATATTTCTTATAGGTTTCATCTTTTCGCTTCGGTGGTTTACTCCATTTCACGAACGTAGCTTCAGTTTGTCTTTAAATAATAATGGATTTGTCTAGCAACCGATAATTAAGTTATGGCGCTCTGCTATATGAGTATTTTCTTTTCTATACGATAGAATGTTATTGTAGGTAACATAGTTGATAGAAACTTGGTGCATAATTTACAAATTACTACTTATAAATCTATAATAGTACAAAACAGATACCCTAGCCGATTCAAACGTTTTCATTCATGTTGAATCTATACGTTTATGTATAAATCACAAACTAAATTTTGTGTAAAAATTTAAAAAAAGTGTATAAGTTCATCGTCCACATGTTGGCAAATTAACTCTAAAGAATACATTTAATTCTATCAAACTAGCTAATATTAAAAACGCCGCATACATCAATAAGCAAGCTCGTCCGACTCTCTTGTCTAATTTGAATTTATTCAAAGAAAATGCGATATACAGCATCAATAATGTCGAGAGTAACGATATTGCGCTGTACTCAATGCCCGCAGAGTTAATGCCAACCTAAAAGTATACGTAAAAATTAGTCATTTGACGCGAAATACTCACCCAAAGCTTTCCTGGTATGGTTGGCATGAAAGTTGCTTTTATGAACCAGGGTAATCCTAAGCAAAGTAGTATATCAAAAGTATTCGATCCGATCGAATTACTGATACCCATTGATCCATGACCTACAAAATATTATACCAATCATCTTTATGAAGAAGATGACTAACTCACCCTGTTTAGCTACAATCACACTGGAAACTGCTTCGGGTACACTTGTACCAGCCGCCAAAAATGTTATACCCATCACGGAATCTGGAATTTTCAGTGTATCCCCTAAAATGGGTGTGTAATTGAGGCATGTACTTGTAACGCATATTTACCGATTATCGTAATCATCCAAGCTACCACATATGATAAGGAACCTATCCATATGATGCACATCATAAAAGTTAAAGGAAACCATTTTTTGAAGCGAGGTTTTTCACAGTCCGGTATTGTGAATAAAAACACAAAGTAAATCGGCCATGTAATGATCCACGTGAACTAAAATTACAAATTCTAAAGTTAGTTTTTGATAGAGCGTCTTGGTACCTTTGTAAATTTCCCTTGTTTCGACGGCCACTTCCAAAGAGAATGCTGATTGCTGGTGTCGTGACTTTCCTCGACGTTAGGCAGCTCGCTGCTTTTAATGGTGCCGTTTAACTGCGCGACGGCACCCGGACCGATTTGCGTGCAATTGCCCGACTCGTCCGAGTTAACGTGTGTCCCATCACACACCTGTTTTTCTTTTTCTATTTTGAGAGGTATTTGCGCCTCTGCCGCCTCTGGTGATAAATTTAAGTAAGTGTTTATCAAGATATGTGCGATTAAAATTAGATCAATCAATGTATAATTCGTTACTGGCGTTTTGTTGTTAATTTCAACTTTTTTGTGTTGTGAGTGGAAGGAATAAACTTACCTAAAGAGTGTGCACGTGATTTTGAAATGGAAGACTGATAGGATTGCCGCCGTTTTTGTGCACTTCTGAGTCCACCTAGGAAAAGAGGTGTCGTGAATGTATAAGTCCTATTCTACATTAAAAAGGAATAATAACAAAAAGTGTCGAGCGAATTATTCTGTAGATACCTAATAGGTGCTCATTATGGCAACTATTGTTAATGACACTCTTTTAGAAAGAGAAACTATAGACGGATTTCAGCAGCAGAGGTAACGTTTCGAGTAGGTACGAAGGGGGTACAAAATAATTGTTCACGTATTTCTACCATGTGTTTTGATATTGCCAAAGAAAAAAATTACAAACTAAACGACAGAAAAATATAGTAGATACAAACTGGTTAAATAACGGACGATCAAAAATGAGTTGCTGTCGAGTCGCCTTTGGAAGTTCAAGTTAAGTACGATTTCCCATGTAAACAAAAATTCCAAAGGTGACTCGACAGCAACTCATTTTTGATCGCATGGTATCAGTGTGAAATTGCAACAAAAAAACCAGATGACTCTTAAAACAAAGTTTACGAGGAATACTATGGATTCAATATGGCGTATATAAAGAGAAGAAAATCCCTAGGTAATCACCTTTTACATCTAATAACTTTAATATTATATTAAATTTAACATAATTATGTTGAATTCTTCATTTTTTTCTAATATTAAGCTTAGTTGAATTACACATAAAGGGAAACTTAATTTTCTACTTAGAATGATTATAGGTTTTTAACTGGTAACAAATAACGGGCGATCAAAAATGAGTTGCTGTCGAGTCGCCTTTGGAAGTTCAAGTTAAATACGAATTCCCATGTAAACAAAAATTCCAAAGGTGGCTCGACAGCAACTCATTTTTGATCGCATTGTATATGTAAATTAAATGTACCTATAATCCAGATTAATTGAAAAAGTTGAGGGTATCAAGAGATGCCTGCGTGATGAATATATTACCCTAGGCAAGGTCAGCATTCTGTGGTAATTGCAGCTTCTTTTCGAAATAATGAACACTCCTACAGTATTAACAATGGAAAAAAATACTACTCTTCCCCAATTAAATGGGCTTCCGTTCATATTTGTACAAACATATCAACCCAGATCTTTGACCTGGCGAAGAATATGATCATTCTTCGCGAGGCCAAAGATCTGGGTTGATATGTTTGTACACACGATGTTAATTGAAGTTTATAAATAAATGCGCGGTGATTCGGAAAGCGTACTACAAGCCCATTTTACCCGGTTATCTTAATGCTATTAATTCCGCACTTTACCTATGCTTACGTTCACCAGACGAAGCGCTTCATGAGCGCTACCTAGCTAAAGGCGTAAATACTCTAGCAAGATTTCTCGCGCGATTTACTATCGAGGTGTACCACTTCGACAGTGCTATCAGACAGACAGTATTCCCACCTTTAGGTAGTGATACTGATTGCAGCAAACTTCTTACGCTCTTTTTTCTCACTTGTCGAAAGGATTGTTTCACGGCAATTCAGAATTCTTTAAATTATAAACATGGTCGTCATCGAACTTGGAGGCAGGCTTGGTAATGCGATTTAGATAATAAATCGGAACGCTTCACCTGGTTGTCTATATCGAAATGTGCATTATGAGCAAATAACCTCCCTTTATATTTTCGAAATTGTACGGCAGTCGTGGGGTTGAGGGTAAACTGTTTACTACTGCAAGCAGGTCCACGACAGGCATGACTATGTCACTTGTCAGGCAAGCTCATGGCGGCAGGTTGTCCCCCAACCGTTAGAAGCATCCCACCAACGACGTTGCTTGGCAATTTTTGAGCAGCGATACCCTGGAGATTCAATGTAGTTGATGCGGAAAGATATCCGGCTTCTGTGTCTCCAGGCCGTTTGTCTTCTGTTTCTTATCAACATGTGTTGACTCCATGGGATCGGCAGAGGCGTTCTGATAGGCTTCAGAACTTGAGTCTGCGGACTATGACAATTGTTGCCTGCGACGTTGTTCCTCTTCTTCGAGGATTCTTGCTTCTTCCAGTTTAAGTCATAACAAAACTGACGCGTAAAATCAGTGAAATTAAGAATTGTTTAAACATGTGGTTGGTTTGTTGTACTTTTATAATGATTTTTTCTTTAAACATGATTGAAATTCCCGCGTTGAATATGAATGTAAATTTCCAGTAAAATGTAGCCCTAGATTCCCTGGCTGAGTAAAACTAAGTTCATACGCTACGCATGGCCAAATTAATAAGGTGCAATTCATTCATTCATTGCACCCACAATTTTTGTCTTCAAAATTTTACATAATTTGTTAAACTCTTCGGAATTACTTCAAGAAATTAAGCTTAAGGTTTATTTGTTAAGCTAAGAAAAAATAATACTATTTTTGCAGTTAGCAACACAACTTCCCCACTTATTGAGATCTTGATCACTTTAAACAAGTTCTCTTTAGTAAATGATATCGACTTTTTTCACGATCCCCTAAATGTAATAATAAATCAAATTAGATCTGAAGCCATAATGGGCCTACTGTATGTTCAGAGCCCCTGTGCCATGTACCTAATTGGAATTTTTTATTCTGCATGGTGTCTGGTTAAACAAATTAACAGAAAAGTGGCAAGCAATTAATGTTTAATATTGGGTGCACGCAATCGATAATTCTTTTCAAATCAAAACACCCAAACAATAATTATGACACCTTGGTAACTTAACTTGTGGCGCCAACAATGATGTTAAAACACATGGCACAACTACGTCAATTGTTTCAAATTTTGCGAACAATTTGAAATTGCGTGATGGATGAGTTAACAATCACAAGCACGTTAAAACTATTAGAAATGCGTCTATTGATGTTCTTAAAATGTTGCTCATATCATATCTACCAGCCTAAAATTGTAGGTAATGCGCGGTATTTGAAAATTGGGCAAGGTAGATTCTCTAAACTCTATAAATCAAATGCTGTAGTCATAGTTTTGAGAAGAATTTATTAAGAGTTTTTAGTCCAGAAAAAAGTAGTGACGAATTTTTAGTTTCGTGATATTTGTGTGAGAAAGAGATTACAAAGTTCTACTTCTACCACTGTCTCTATGACGTGTGTGAATAAGTTGTTGCATCAGGAAGTTCATTAGAAAAAAGCGTTTATTTGGTAATGTTGTATATATAACATGCCGACCCATGTGGCGCAGTTCAGTTGAAGCTGGATTGTGGTACTAAGGGTCCCTGGTTCGAATCCGGGTTCGGCAATGGATATTTGTAAACTGTATAGTAGATTGGGTTGGTAGAGCAGCCTTGGCTGAAACCCCGCCCACCCAAAAATAAAGGCAAAAATAATAATTTAAAAATAAATAAATATAAAAAAATTACGATATCAGGAAATCGATTATTTAAATGGAGAGGTTAATTTCCTGAAATTCTGCATAGTTGTACTGTTTAATCCATTAGGAACCAAAGTTCCAAAAAGAGAATTGTATTGATAAGACTGAATAAAATTATGAAAATTTGTAATACAGTGTTACCACGTTTCTCAGGAATAGGTACAATAAGAGATGCCTTTAGTTCTAGTACATACGGTACATCAACGAAGAGGCGGCTTCAGATAATATGAAAAAAAAACATTCAAGTCTTACCACGAGCGCACCGTTGAATTGACTTGTCGAAATACATAATGAGGATGTACACTATGTAGAGAAGAACTAGCGACAGTGCTTCATACCATTCCACGCGCTCGTCGTGGATTATGCAGATTAAAATTGAAACTGTAATGCCGTAAGCCAAACAATCTCTGGTTAAAGGCCACCAATCCAACGGCACAACTTGAACACCTGACTAAAAACTCATTGCCATTATACATTCTAAGAATTACAAATGTGATAATTACCATTCCAGCTCCTAATCCACAGCAAGCCGCCACGGCTAAAATATTAAATACTGCTGACCCAACTATCGTTCCGACACCAATATCACCTTCTGTAATGAACGTTCCAATAACGTTCACGAAAAGTTCAGGTGCAGAAGTTGCTGCTGCCATAAACGTTGCACCGGCAACGTCGTTTGACATATTTAAAGCTGCAAATAATAACAAAACTTGTAGAGAGGTACTGAAGAAAATACATTACCTTGACATATTTTTTCTACAGCAGGTACGAAGTATTTGTCGCATACAACCGCAAGGGCTACAAATAGATATAAGGATATGATTATGTGTAGTACTACTGCGCCATCCTGTCTTTGTTCCTCAGTAAATATATCCTTTGGAAAATCATCAATCGCCGGTGGAGTGCAATTTAGTCCTGCAAGTAAATAATGGAATTTAGTTTTTTGCTAAATGTAATATAACAAAATAAAGAATAACCGAAAAGTGCGCGACTGGCTACAGCGCTAATAAAATTGTTGTACTCCGTGGACTAAATCCACATGTTTTGTCATTCATTTAAGGGACTAAAGCATGATATAATTGTATCATAGGACTAAAGAAGTATCGCTTTTTCTCGCGGAGGGAGAAAAACGCGACGCGGGACAAAAAGTGACAGTACACACTGAATTGTCAAACATAATTTAATGATTAATGGTTACCTACCTTTATATGTACATTTTTATTCTTGCACCATATTTTACACTTATTATACCGTTATCCATATATCTTTTTGAATTTGGGAGGCAGTAGGTTTCCTTATAGCTTTTTCTTCAAAGTTTTACACGATATTTCTACGCCGTAGTATTAAACTAGAATCCTTACTTGTTGCCCTCAACAACAATATGCACCCTCGGGATTCAAACACACACTTTAGTCCCTTGGTATATAATATACTATTCTCTCTGTCTTATCTTCATCTTCATCGGTTTAACGTCAAAAAGTATTGAGCTGATTAAAAATCAGAAAATTTGTTAGGACTATTGGATTAATTTTAACTGGCTTGAGTTTAAGCTAATTTAGTGAGTACTATCGTATTGTTCACCAATCCCATTTTTATACATATATATCACGAGGTCATAATACTTTATACAATGCTTATCCACATTATATTTCACAAATAAATGCCTATAATGGTATTTTAAATCAATTACAATTACATAATTAGTGCAGGTAATGAGTGTTGTGTAACGGTTTTATCTCTTTGCTACTCTACGTACGTTTCATGCTCAACGTAACGGTCTGTCCCCAAAGATTATTATGTAGGTACCTATAGGTACCTATACGCACTTTAATCTAATTCCGTACAAACCAATTCGCTTTTTCCAATCCAAATCGAAAAGCAAAATTCATCTGGAAAGTGTCCTTATAGAAACTTGCCTTCGAAATAGCTGTTAGATAGAGTTAGTTAGTCAAAATGCAAATATTAAAAGTGATGATAATTTTGACGAGAAAATGACCAAATTGCAGAAGCAGTAAGTAAAATAATTAACGAATAACTTTAAAAAACATTTGCGATCAAATTATACCAAAAATTAAACAGTAATAAATATAATAGGTGATGGAATATACATTTAACAAATAAAAGAAAAGATGAAACTTAACAAAAAAAAAGCAAGAAACAACATTCAGAAAAAAGGGAAAATTTAAAACAAAAATATAAAGAAGAAAGAAATAAATACACAAAATTGATCGGCCAAACACGAAATCCTGTGAAATTCCTGTGAAACAAATAAAAAAATTAATATTTCAAGATCACGCAAACCTTTTGCGGAATGAGTGGAGAAATTCGATTAAGGGAAATGAAACATACAAATACATTCCGGACATAAAGGAAAAGCGGTAAAGTGGAAATTGAAGCGCCAGGAATCCGAATAACAATCTCAATGATGTCGGTCGGTCTGTCTGCACTCTCATTGTCGACTAAATGTTTGAAGCGATTGGAACCAAGTTTGCGGTAATCATATTCTTAAACATAAAAGAATGCTTTTGGATAGGATTCAAAATTAAAAGAAATATTATGCTAGATTTTGCAGGGACCTCCAGGCTGTTTTAGGGACGGGCAATGAACTCTGGATCTAGATTATAACCTCTGGTCACGAATGCATCAGTCGTGTGATTCAAAGTGAGTAAAATGTTTTGAAAAGTTCGGGTTTTTGCTGTGGTTCAAGTTCAACGCGTTGTTTAAGTAAGGGTAGTTAATAAACAACGTGGCCACGAGACAATTTTTTGACCAGAATTAAGGGTAACAAGTTAAAAAGTAATCGTAAACGATTTACATAAAGCGCATTTCCACTTGCATTCATTTCCCATTTGTAAGATGCAACTTCTGTTAAAATCGTTAAAATCCGGCCACAAATATAAAAGATAGCGTTGCACATGGGCAATCCATTGTTGACGTGCTACTTCAATTTCAGTTTATGAGAAGAATTTCATTTCAATGCTTTTCTAAATAAGAAAGTTGGAACTGCGCATGCGCAAACCTAAATTTTGAAACTAATGTTAGATTTTCCTTTGTTCCAAGCGCCTAAGTATCAAATTTCACTTAAATAGTTCCATAGATAAAAAAGTTGGCACTGCGCATGCGCAAAATAAAATTTTGAAACTGGCGCTAGATTTTCCTTTATTCCATGTGCCTATGTATCACATTTCATTTAAATTCTTCCATAAATAAAAAAGTTGGCACTGCGCATGCGCAAAGCCAAATTTTGAAACTGGCGTTTGATTTTCCTTTATCCCAAGTGCCTATGTATCAAATTTCGTTTAAATTCTTCCATAAATAAAAAAGTTGGCACTGCGCATGCGCAAAACCAAATTTTGAAATTGGCGTTTGATTTTCCTTTATTCCCAAGTGCCTATGTATCAAATTTCATTCAAATACTTTTATAAGTAAAAAAGTTTGCAATTCGGTTTATAAATGGTCGAGATGCGAAAAGGGCACTGTGAATTTTGAATCGATTCGATTCAACTTTTGGCATTGCGTATTATATGGCTAAAGCTATGCCCATATTGAATTTCATGCAATTCAGTTCATAACTAACGGAGATGTAAAAGCGATCGAACATTTCTAAACAAAGTTATCGTTCACACGGACAGATAGATGGACAGACAGACAAAGGAACAGACGGACAGACCAACAGGCAGACGACAGATAGCAATGCAAAATTATAAACGATCTCTAGGATCGTTAATAAACGGCAAAAGTGTAAAATTATGGAACATGTAAAAAACGGTTTTTTGTTTTTTTTACAATAACTTTTTTTGTAAGCGGTACAGAAAAAATTCCTTCCTTGGTACAAGACTCGACACCATAACGAACCAAATAGCGAAAAAAGTAGAACAATAGCTCTTAAGATAAAAAACTAGTAGCGTCGCAAAAGTTAGCGGACGGACGGACGGACGGACAAAGTGGCCACAATAGCGCATTTTTTTTTATTTTTGTGGAAATGCGCTAAAAATAATCTAATCAAGGGTAGAAAGGAAAATGTAAGTCAACTAATTTTTTGATCTAAATATTTTTTTTCTATATATTTAAATTTGTCACACTACGGCGTCTTTACTGGCTATACTATCCAGGAAATTCGAACTCAAAAATCAAATTATGTAAAAAGGAAAAAGGAAAACTTTCAATAGAATCATTAAGTAGAGATTAGAAAACCCAAAAAACTTATACATAGAAGCTGCCCGTGTGGATCACCCAATTTATTTTTCTTAGGAAAAATTAGCATTCCTATTAGTAATTTTGATATGTTATTTTAAAGAACGTGTCACCAACCCCTATATATGGAAAAACCTATGGTATCGTAGAGGATTTTAGGTTAGGGCAAGTACTTGGTGTTGGTGCGAAACAAACATGTTAACTAGCAATAGCACTAAAACAGCATCAATGATATTATCATTACGTTCTCATAACTTACCAACATTAAACCATGTCACCTTTTTAGAAATTTCAATTGATTGTCGACTAAATTTTGATACTCACGCGGAAGTTATTCGAGCAAAAATATGCAGGAACCTTTTCGTTTTACGCAGATTAGCGGAAAACGTTACTGCTCAAATTTTAAGGATTGCATACTTTGCTCTTATACACAGTCACTTATCATATTCCATTAATGTATGGGGTTACTATGCATGTTGGAAACCACTATTCAAACTTCAACGCAAAAGTGTAAGAATCATTGCTCATCTTCCATTTCAAGCAGATTGTCGGCAGGCATTCATTAGTTATAAAATTCTCACATTGCCCTGTATTTTCATACATACATGCCTCTGTTTTGCTAAACGTAATGAGCAGAAATTTGTAAAAAAATTGGATATTCATGAATATTCGCAACAAACATTTTATATCTGTACCTTATTGTAGATTAACTAAAACCCAAATTAGTTTTGATTTCATAACAAAAAAATTTTATAATTGTATTCCACCGAACATTTAATGTTTACCTTACAATTCATTTAAAAACAGGACAAAATTATTTTTGTTAAAAAAACGCATTTTATTCAAACAGTGAATTTCTCTGCACCAACTTGCAAAATATGTAAACTTTTTAGTTTAGTACGTATACTTTAGCTTTGACGGATGTAAATAGACTGTTCTACGATTAACATTAATAAAATTATTATTATTATTATTTGTGTTTCCTCTTCTGGGTGATTTTCAATAGGAAAATAATGAAATCGAAACCAAAGAGTATTATTCTTTGTCGAAACTATAATTTGAAAGTTGAAACGCATTTTACAGTTTAATTAATTAACTTATTTTTGGTCCTTATTTTTGATTGGGCAGGGTGACCGAAAAGGCTGCTCTACCAGCCCAACCCACTATGCTTTTATAAATATCCATATGCCCGAACCCGGATTCGAACTAGGCAGCCGTAGTACTGTAGTCGAACTTTAACTCAACTGCATCATACAGGTCGGCGTAAAGATAAATTACAGTAGTGTACTAATTCTTGCTTAAGCATCGTATAATGGAAACGATGGATCCGGAAAAGTATATGTTTTAGACGCTCAAGCTATTAAACTATTTTTAATTTGTTTTGTTAATTTACTTGGGGTAACTTATTGCTTCAATTCAGAAAGATCCCAATTACAACGAAGCAGTACACCCTCTAGAGCACAAGACCATATAATACTGGATTGGTCAGAATTATCGACACTTGTAATGGTAGATCTTTTTGTACAAGGTAGGTACCAATACAAATTTTACTGGATCATCAACTTTTTTGAAGAAATAGATACCAAGTAAATATTATTATAGTTCTGGTAATTATTTTTGACAAGGCTATATACTTTTATCCAATATAAATCCATTGATGGTAACCCATGAGATCAGCCAAAAGCTGTTACTAGATATACCAATCAAAATATTATTTATTT